TCTTTTAGCATCCACCATCTTTGCTCGGGAAAACCCAAACAAGGTGAATGCTAAAGAATTAATTATCATGCAGAGCTGCCTCACAGACACCAAAGTTAATCCAGTCCCATTTATGATTGCCCACATGCACCATGTTTTAAGAAAAGGTGGGCCGATTTCCTTTGGTGGACTGATTACTACTATTGCCCGTGCCATAGGATTGGATACAGAACTTGCCACCCTTGAGCCACTTCCTCCTCGTATTGCAAATCTTAAATTTTTAAAGGATATGCGTTTATGCAAGACGAGGAGGGAAGGTGGTTACTTCCTCATGGTTGGAGGTGCCGTTGTACCCAGTGTTGTTATTCCTTGCACCCGTCGTACTGATATCAGATTTGAGCGTAACTGGACCTACGATCTCAATGCTCCTGCTTTTATTGGTCCGTTGCCCCCAAATCTACCTTAACCAGACCACATACGCTCGTCACTTCCAATTGATGGAGGCAACCCAAGGCACCCTCATTGGTAGGACCCAAGAGCTACAAGCGGCAAATGTCGCCTTGACAGAGAGAATGGAGCAGCTAGTTTTGGACCGAGAGAGCCGCCGTCGCAGCCGTAGCCGCCGTTCCGGTCGTACCAACCAGGATGGTGAAGGTCCTAGTGGCCCCCACTAGCGTTTTCAGGTACCTCCTCCTACCTTATTTTGGAACATTGAGGACAATGTCCGATTTAAGTGTGGGAGGAGCATTTATCGCTTTTATTTCCCGTTTTTCCTGCTTTTATTTCCCTTCCGCATTTTTCCTTTTAGGTATGTTATATTCGTAGTTAATAAAATGCATGTGATAGGCGAGTCTTTCTGCGTAGTGTACCCTTTCATTTCCCCCACTTTTTAGCCTTACAAAATTTTTACAAAATCTTTTTCAAAGAATTGTGGTTGTTTTTAAGGATTTGGGCTATGAGACAGGTCCTAGATAGGGTCTATTTCTTGGGCACTCACTTTTTGAAAAATTCGTTATCGTTTTAACACCGTAAGCCTTTTTGAACATTTAGATTAGATCCTTTCTTCCCAATATGCTATGATTTTGAATAAAACTGTACAAATAAGTCTTCAAGTAGTTTATCTTAGCAGTCAGCTCCGGCCTAAGCATGCTCTAAGTGTAGGATCGATGAATATAAGTGGATGATCTCTATTTTGCCTTAAAAGTTTATAAAATAAAGTATGAATACGACTACGAGTTGGGTGATCCTCACAAAGATTACTCAACTCAAGAAAGTTGTAAGCACTAATAAAAACAAAGAAAAAAAAAAAATATATATATATATATATATATATATATATATATATATATATATATATATATATATATATATATATATAAGGCACATCCGTTGTAGTTGGTCCAGAGGTATCTGGTGCTGGACTTGGTAGGGCGGACTACGGTCCGATCCCCGCAACTGCAAATGGGTAAAATAAAAAGGGGTTAAACCAACTCTTGTACCAGAATCCCATCACTTGAGATCAGAGTCACTAACCGGTCACTACACCATGAGTATGTACGGATAACGGGCTTAATGTGATTGCGCCTGAATGAAAAAGGACCTCGTACAAAAAGAAGTCTTAGCATAGTAAGGATATTATGATCGATCTGTATACTTATGAGGTTTATGTCCGCATTTCTGCGAGTAATGTAATTACGATACCCTTGGTTCAGATAGTTAGTGCCTGACAACACACCCTTACTCGAACTTAGGAGCCCTCTTTGCCCAAAACCTGTATACACCATAATTTTCTTTCATCTACTTCTAAGAGTTGTTGCTTGAGGACAAGCAAAGGTCTAAGCGTGGGAGGATTTGATCGCACTAAATCGCACTATGTTTCTGACTCAAATATCACATGTTTTCCTTAGTTTTTATTATCATTTTCTCGTATTATGTTCCTTTTTCCTTTGTTTTCAGGATTCTTGTCATTTCAGAGCCTTCTGTGAAGAAACGAGCCAAAACGCCAAGAAATTGGGGTTTTTCAAGATATTCTGCACTTATGGCGTTCAGCGCCGCGCCGGCTACAGGGAACGCGATGACGTGGCCCACTTTCACCCAGAGATCAACTGCCACGTTCCCACGATCTGGCAGTTCCAGCCACCGCGCCCGCGGCCACTGCCACCGCGCCCGCGGCCTTCACAAAAGTTTCCCGCTCAGAAGAAGTTGAGGGGCATGCTGGTCTTTACGCATCTCAAGGATCCTCTATAAATAGTTTTCGATTTTCATTTTTTAGTTTCATCCAAGCTTAGTACAATCTTAAGCCATATACTATCAGTTTCTGTAAAGTAATAATCTCTTCACATCGGGGAGTTATTGCGGTGTAGATTGAGTTGTAATCGAGTCTTAGAGCACTTTGGTTGAAGTTCATCATACCAGCCTTACCATTCCGCAGATTTGTATCAGATTCAAGTCTCCGACTGGAGCAAGGTTCTATTTTATTGCATTTCTTTACTTCTAAATGCTCTTACCATAGTCTACACGTTTTATAGACTCTAAATGCTCTTACCATAGTCTACACGTTTTATAGACTCTAAATGCTCTTACCATAGTCTACACGTTTTATAGACTCTAAATGCTCTTACCATAGTCTACACGTTTTATAGACTCGCACTCTTTTACTTACTCGCTCTTATCATAGTCTACACGTTTTATAGACTCGCACTTATTATATCTGGCTAAACTATAAAGGTTTGGATGTAATGATTGTCATCATGGTCGTGTTCCAATTATCATGCTAGTGAAAATACTCTAGGGGATGTTTTGCTTTTAACTTAAGTCAATTATGTTTAAATGTTTATTGGGTAAGATCGAAAGTCGTCCAAACTAATGATACGACTTGATTATTATTTAACCAAACAAAAAGAGCGAAAGTCGTTGATTGGTTAAATAGGAATCATTGACCTTTTTAGAAAACGATTTTGAAACTATTTTCGGACGCGTTTGTAGGTTTGAAATCTGACTCTTGGTCAAAAGCCAAAAGTCTCTTTAAGTTAATCTTTCCAAGTAAAATTACTTTTCTGTTAAGTCAAAACTATCAATTTCTTAAAAATAGGTTTACCTCTTTAACGCGGAAGGCACCCTTTATATGTGACAATAAAGGAATTTAATTTAAAGAGTAAATTCAGTTCTTAGTAGTCAAAAGCTACAAGTTCCCGTTAAATTGATTCTTTGCTATCAATAGAAAATACTGCCCCATAAGTAGTTTCATCTACGCATGACCGGACCAATATCTGATTACATGATTTACATTCCAACCTGTCTTTTAAACTGTTATTTACCTCGCTCATTTACTTTGTTGCACTGCCCTCACATCAATATTCTTGTTCACCTTAGATAAGCACCTTAGCAATAGAGTTGATAGATTGACAATTGGTCTCTGTGGTTCAATAATCTTATATATTACTTCGATAGGCTGTGCACTTGCAGTACTATATTTAGGCTATACGTTACAGATCCCCATCATTTTGTCCATCATTTGATAAGAAAAAAAATTCAAATCAAATCTTCCATTATTTTTATTATTTACTTTATTTAATTTTGCATTTTAATGGATAAAATATCAAAATAAATAGTATAAATAATAAAATAATGTTTGAATGAGCTCAAAGGTCGTGGGCCATGTTAGAAACAAGTTTCAACCATGAGAAGATGGGCCCATTTGGAAAAAATTCAAGTTTAGTCAATATTGATTTCATGCACTTTTCCAAAAATTGGTCAACTTTAACAATGCATATCTCTCTCATTTTTAACTCTAAGAGGGTGTTCTTAGACTTTTTAGAGAGCTTAGGATGTCCTTTAAACAACCTTTTTGGTTTCATTTCAATTGGATCTTTCATGTTCATGTAAGGAGCTTTGACTCAAAAGGTGTTTTGTTGACTTTTTGAAATGACTTATATGTATGAGCTTGTATCTTTTAACTAGGACATTTCTTGAACTTGGGAGCTAAAGAGATGTTGTGGGGAATTGGATTCTCTTCAAAAATTGGACTTTGGTGGAAAAATTTCTGATAAAATATGAGAAAGTTATGCCTGGTCAAAGTTTGGTTGACTTTTCCTATAGAAACCCTAATTTGCAACTTTTGACTTTTGATGAGTTAGGGACATTTCTTGAGGAATCATGATCAACCCTTGATCAAATGATAGATATTACTTCAAAATATTGATGTTGATCAAAAATCTTGAAATTTGACTGTATATAGGCCACAGTTGACTTTTGACCTAGTACAGTTGATTTTCAGGCATTTGAGCAGTTGACTGAGCAAACTTGTGGTGTAGGGCATGAAATTTGGCATGGATGATCTTGAGGACATATTAGGGCTATGAAAAACATTTGAGACCCTTGGAGCTCACACATCTTGATGAAAACTGAAACCCTAATTAGAGGTTTATTGCCTTAGGAGGAGAATTTGTCTGGTTAATTCTTAGTCATTCTAGGGCAAGTTGGGGATCTCAATGGGCATTGTCTTGAGTAAAATGAGATGACAAATTTTGGGGTACAACCTATGGCTCAGACAGCCTAAACCATAACATCAAAATAAACCTACATGGGATGGATGGAATTATTACAGTGGCCCATAACTCCGTTGATTTGGCAGCAGAAAGGTACTAATGGCAATTAAAGTCTAACCACATCAAATAATGGAGAGGACTTAATTCTGAAAAACTAAACAATTGTGAAAATTTCACAAAATAAACCTTACAAGTACATTAGGTGCAATTCCAGTTCTGCAAATAAATTCTCAAACATCAAATACAAAACAAACAAAGCATACAAAACATATTACATGAACAATTTCACTGATAAATCACATAACTAAAACATACATTGGATCATTTGTCACTAGTACTAATACCATGGCCTATTATAAACTAAAACTATAACTAATTTACATCATTGTTCTCTCCATCTTGAATCATTGGATCATTTGTCACTAGTACTGGCTCAACATCATCAACTAATCCTTCATCGGCTAAACCACATATTTATTCAAGTTCAGTGATAGGCACAACTGGTGACATTTCATCAGATTGATAAGGCATTTCATCCTCGGTGTTATCTATCTCCACATAACCCCTTGATTTTATGGTGATTGCAGCACACCATCCACGCATGTTTCTACAAATATCTGGATATGGGACATAATACACCTGTTTTGCTTCTTGTGCAAGAATGAACGGGTCATATTGACGATATCGTTTATTCATCTTAATGTCAACAATATTGTACTCCTTATTAACACTTGTGCCACTATTATTTGTTGGATCAAACCAAGCACAATAAAATAGGGCAATCTTGTTGCTAAAGCCATGGTATTCCAATTGAACGATACGTTGGATGATACCGTAAAAATCATCTTCTCCTCCATTTGTAATTCCTTTCACATGTACCCCACAATTAGTAGTCTTTTTACCACGACTCCATTCTTCAGTGTGAAACTTGTACTCGTTAATAAAGTAGATATGCCACGACGTTGTCTTAGGATTAGGACCAAGAGTTAATGCCTTCATGTATGGGCTATGTGTTCCATTTCTCTCATCATTGACCTAAAAAAATATACATATAACCTAAGAGAGATTACATTGACAAACTACATCAATGTGAGAAGTACACTTACATATTCCTTTAGCCATGAAGGAAATTGCTCGTGTATAAGACCAGAAGCATCTTCCTCATTGATACGGTGATATTGCATGAACAATCTGACACCAAATATAAAATTTATGAAGTATTTATACACAATGGTTGAGACCAAAGCAATTGTTTTACAAAATGTACCTACTCGGGGTATGGTTTAACCTCATCACAATTGATTAGGACATGCATGTGAGCAGATTCCCATTCCTTATCAAGCACCCAAGAGTCCCGAGGCTTCCACTAGGACGACCGCATTTGTTAAAAATAGAAAGTGTTGGTTGGACATTCTCATGATATGATCCAGGATCGTTTCTGAAACTTGTACTTGGCAACAAACTAACAGTCTTGAAATAGTGAGAGCAAAAATAAGTAATTTCACGATGCAAGCAGACAGTGCATATTGAACCTTCAACCCTGGCTTTATTTTTCACTGAACGCTTGTAGTCTCCCATCAATCTAAGAGTGAACAGTTAAAAGATGTTATTTCATTAAAGTAATGTACAAAAATTACACATTGTTTACCTTTCAAATGGATACATCCAACGATATTGTACATGACCACCAAGGATTGCTTCATTAGGTAGGTGAACCGGGAGATGTTCCATCGAGTCAAAGAAACTTGGTGGAAAAATTCTTTCTAGCTTGCATATAATGATGGGAATGTTTTGTTCCAACCTAACAAGGTCTTCCAACTTCAATGTATTACAACACAAGTCTTTAAAGAAACGGCTTAACTCGGTTAGCGGCTTCCATATCTCACTAGGCAAGGAACGAAAAGCAATTGGAAGCAAACACTCCATGAATACATGACAGTCATGGGATTTCATCCCCTTCATCCTACCTTTGGTGACATCAGCATATCTAGAAAGATTTGAGGCATAGCCATCAGGCATTTTTAGTTCCTTAATCCATCTACAAACTAGCTTCGCCTCTTCGAATGTCAACGAAAATTTTGCCTTTGGCTTAGCCATCTTTCCATTATGTAGAGGACGCATCTCTAAATCCTCACGTAAACAGTTAAGAGGTAAATCCAATCTTGCCTTCGCATTATCCTTTGTTTTTGCAGGATCATTCATGATTGTGTTAAACACATTATCAAATACATTCTTCTCTATGTGCATCACATCAAGATTGTGCCTTAACAAGTTGTTCTTCCAGTATGGAAGATCCCAAAATATATTTCTTTTGATCCAATTATGATGTTTTCCATACGCTGGAAATTTGGTGGCCCAGACACTATCTGTGACTTTTGGAAAATCACAGACAGCTTCCCAGAGATCATGGTCGGTAAACATGTAAGCTGGTCTTTTTTTCTTGATCATGTTTTTTTTAAATCTTTTTTTACTTTTTCTAAACAGATGATCCATTGGTAAAAACTGATGATGACAATCGAACCAACATTATTTTCCCTCATATCCTAATGTGAAAGCATATGTATTATCCATACAACAAGGGCACGCTAATTTACCTTGTGTCCCCCCATCCAGAAAACATACCATATGCCGAAAAATCATTAATTGTCCACATTAAATGCACTCTCATTACAAAATTATGCTTCATAAAGATATCATATGTCACAATGCCATCTCTCTACAAGCGCAACAAATCATCAATCAAAGGTTGCATGTAGACATCTATTTTAACTTTTGGGTTGTACGGTCCAGGTACAAGACAAGTCAAAAACATGTATGGTGTATGGTTTGGTCATGCACATTTCGGGGGAGAGATTGTATGGTGTGACTATTATCGGCCAACATGAATAAGGAGAACTAAAGGCTTGAATGTAAGGTGCAAACCCATCAGTACATAAACCCAATCTTACATTTTTTGGGTTACTAGCATAATCGGGATAAACTTCATCAAAGTCTTTCCATCAAATGGGTGACGCAGATCATTTGGATTGCTTGTGGTCTCACGATGCCATCTCATTTGAGCTGCAGATTCCTTTGAAGCATAAACTGGTTGTAACCTATGAATGATTGAAAAATAGAACATTCTCTTCACTGCCACATCTTTGTATTTTCCCATTCCACTCTTTCGAGGAACATACCTAGATAATAAGCATCCATTCACATAACAATCAATTTTCTCAACCTCCAACCCAACTTAGACACTAACTTCTTCACTTAGTAATAGTTTTCAGGTAAGCATTGATTTGTTGGACAAACATCGATAAGCATTTGAGTGAAAAAATCCATGGCCTTTTGAGGAACATGCCAATTAGACATGGCAGCCAACAGCTTAATTGAAATAGATAGTCTGGATTCAGAAGCTCCCTCATAAATGGGTTGGTTTACAGAGGTTAATACATCATAAAATTGTTGAGCTTCTTCATTTGGTACCTCGCCCTCACTAACTGTTTCGTTTTCCATATTAGCATTCCCATTGGGAACATTAACAAATTGCCTACTAGTATCATATACCATTTCATTCATTGCATCCAATTGTTCTTCATCACCCAAATTATCCCCACCATCATTTCTGCCACTACTAGAATGACCATCAAAGTCTATATTCTGAGTATCTTCTCCATGATCAGTCCATGTATAATAGTTGGGCAAAAAACTATTTTTATACAAGTGATGTCTAACCTCACTAGGCGTCTTCAAGGGAATGCAGACGCATTTTTCACAAGCACACCTTATCCCTCCATCATTTACAAAATCGGGTCGATTCATGGCTTTATTGACAAAATCTTCAACTCCACTAACAAATTCATCTTTCAAACCATACTTGTTGAAATTTACTCTATCGTACATCCAACTTCGATTCATTTTCTACATAAAAAACAAACATAAGTTTCTAATATTCATTTACTCAATTGACTTCTATGTTTAGTCTAAAGCTACATATAATATAAGAGTAGAATGAATAGTTAGCTAGATATAGCTAACTATTCATTTTTGGGTTAACCGTAGAACTCAATGAGGTACTAGTAATTTCTTAGAAAGGATCCATCATTTTCCCTCAATTTAATTTAAACAAAATCACACGTTAAACTAAAATGAATAGTTTAAAAAATATCAATCCCGATGCATGAAAATTAGTTCCATAGTTGTCTATACTCATTTTAGTACTTTGTTTCTAGTGTTTTTACTTTCTTAACAAACCGTGTCTTCAATTTATGTTTACTATTATTAATTGAACAAAAGTATGGGCTAAAATTAACAGGTGTTTTGAAATTTCTCTTTTTCAAGGTTTTTTTTTATAATCAAAACCTGTTATAATTTTGCACTTCAATTCAAGTTCAAAGATCATAACATTAAAAAAAAGTGAGTTAAATCTCTTAGTCTCTTTACTGTTTTATTGTTTGGACCTTTTATTTTATCCAACACTAAGTAAAAGTTTATAGCAATAACTTTCTGGAAAATCTTTCTGCTGCCCTTTTAATTTTTCAGAAACTCTTTTTAAACCCAAAATTATAACAGTAGACATAAAATAATACATTAAGTCAAACCAAATTCAAAAGCATAATATATCAATGTTGATAAAAATATAAAGAAAACACAAATAAGATTATAGATCAGACAAAATTAGTTACTTCTTCATCGGGTTCAACCGTGCTCGTCATAATTTTATCATATGTTTTGAGACGAATAAAGTTTGAATAGATAATACAAACATATCTGACCAAGATAATGTTTAATTTGATCGGTTCCTTGGTACGATACTACCCCTTATACACAATCTAAGCTTAACCAAATCATGAATTTCAAAATCCTCATGATGCTTAGAGTTATGCTTGTTATCCCTTGTTTGTCTTTTTATACCTCCCACCCAAACATATTTTTATACAATTAGACTTGTTTACTGCAGGATGAAAGTCAAAATCAGTAAATTACTCTCCAATAGTTATGAATAGAATAACATTAAAATTTAGTCAGAAAAACTATATACATTGTGTTATTGTTTGCCTTGGGTGTCTTGATCTCTTACTAATAGAGCCAAATAAAATGTTCACCTATTCAGACTATTAGGAATTCAAGCAGTTCTTTGTCCCACATCATTCAACAATGTTTAGATATAGTTGTATCTAGGCTGGTATATCAGCTGCTATCTGACACGTCAATGAGACCCCATGAACTTATTAAATGACCAAGATTCAGGAACTTAATAATAATGATAGTAATAACGCTTTCATCACCGACACCTCACATTACTAGATATAAATAGGTATTGTGTTGGGAAATAAATGTCTTTCTCACTATTCTGGTTATGTTTCTGCATGTTGTTCCGTGCTTTAATTGTTTGCTAATGTTTCAATATTTGTTTTACTAGGAGTGCCTAATGTTACTAGCAAAAACTAAGAGCAACTCCAATGTTTTGTCCTTAGATGTCCAGAAAACAACTATTTCAGTAACAACTTTACTTTGTTTACTATGGGTGTTTCAAGTAAATGAGTGCAACAAAACACTAGTGGCAAAATAAAAGCTAAAGTGAAACAATACTGAAAAGATGGCAAGACCAAACCAACCTTTGTAGTCAAACTTAGCTTTCCAAGTAAAAGATGGCACTGGAACAACAGTAAATCCTGCAGAAGCTAATATCCGGACTGAAATCCTCCACTATACCAGACCTTGAATGCAGAAAGATGGGAAAATATTAAATATAACTTGTCAAAACTAAAACGACGCATCTTTTAGAAGTACGGGTTGTATCTAGAACTTCTAAAAGAAATCATAGTACTGTGGAACTTAAAAGAATAGAAATATTTTTGACAAATCAAAAACAAATTAATTGAACCATTTGAAACCATAGTATTGTTGAACCGAATCTTTATATTAGTTTGATTTGGATCAAAACGAACCATTAGAGTTCAGTTCAGTTTTACTGAAATTTTTATTCACAAACCTAACAATGAACGATCTCAACAGAGAAATTCATACCTATTTTATAAATCGCAGTGTCGGCATGCAACTCTGTCAATCAAACACAAGTGAAAGAGTGTGAGTATGAAATGATTTTATTGTCAAGCGAACCTGGAAAAGAAACTGTATGAATATGTCAATCAAACCTTAGAAACAATTTTCTCCTTTAAACGATTTCCTGAAAGCTATTTTCCTTCTTTGAACTCTTCGATTTCCTGATACAATTTGTTGAAGAAATTAGGGATACGATGAGATACTACGATGAAAAATAAATTAGGGATACAGAAAAATTATGCATACAAAGAACCGATTTTGATGATGAAACGATTTGGCAACAATGATTTTATGAACCGAACCCTCGCGGAGATGACGTCAAAGCAACTGTTGGATGACTCGCGGAGAACCGGGGATAACTTGCGGCGTTTTTCAGTGAATGAGGAAGATGAAACAATTTGGCCAGCTGGAAAGATATGAAGTGAATTATTTTATATATTATATAATTTTTTATAATAAGTTTTATAAATTTTATATAATTTTTATATATATGTTTAATATATTATAATAATTATTTTGTATTAATTTTTATATCCTATTTATTTTTAAATAAATTTTATAATTTTTAATTATATATATATATATATATATATATATATATATATATATATATATATATATATATATATATATATATATATATATATATATATATATATATATATATATATATATATATATATATATATATATATATATATATATATATAGTTTTTCTAGTTTATTTTTTATAATATCTTTTAAATAATGTTTGGGTAAAACAAATAAAATATATTAATTTTAATTTTATTAGTAATTTATTATAATTTATATAATAAATATATAAATAAATTGTAGCGTCAGTCAAAACCTTCTCTATTAATAAAAAATATTTGTTAATTAAAATCAACAAAAAAGGAGGCAAACAAAATATAAAGAGAAAATTAAAAATTTCTCTCTAATATTAGCATCGACTATGACCGTCGTTCAAATATAAAAAAAAAATCTACAAATTTTTACAATAAAAAAGAAGGAGGCAAACGAAATATGAGGTGGGAAATGAAAACTTTATGCACCAATATTATCGTCAGCTTTAACCGACGCTAATATTTATATTTTTTTAAAATTAAAAACGCATAAAGCTTTTAGCGTCGGCTATTTGAGCCATAATGGTATCGTTACTAGCGTAGGAGTCGAGGCGGACGCTAAAAGATTGCATCTAAAACGTGATTTTCTTGTAGTGTTTATTTGCGAACTATTATTGTTTTAGAATGTTTAGCATAATTTTTGTATTTAACATTTGTTTCTTGTTTATTTTATAGTCGTAGTTTAGTGGTAAATGTTTACTTTGTGTGTACTGATTTTTATTTGAACCATTGCATTTTTGTTTTCCATTTTCAAAAATCTGATTCTTTGATTATCGTCTTTTGCTTCTTTAAGTTTATTTGACTTCGTTTGAGGATAAACAATGTTTTAAGTTGGGGATAGTTTGATGAGTGATAAATTGTTGTGAATTTGAGTGTGAATAATTAGCACTCATCAGCTTAATTCATTTGCTTTTTGTTAATAAGTCTCTACTTTAGTGTATATTCGGTATAGTTTATGTTATAGTGTATTTATTGTGTCATCGTGTAAATATCATTGAGTTTAATTGATTTTATCTCATTTTTGTAGGTATTCAAGCATTGATATTTAGGCATTGTTAGAAAGAGCATTGAATAAGTTTTTCAATGCTTCCGACCATGTGCGAATTGGAGTTACGGTTCTCAACTTATAGTTGAAACCGTGTTGGTTTTTTAACTTACTGTCAGTCGTCGTTGGGCGAAGCTTTTTGGTCGTCGGGCGACGCTAGGGCGACCTGAAGCGTGGAAAAAATGCAATTTTAAGCGTCGGACTATGCTTTTTGGTCGTCGGGCGATGCGGACCAGTCAGAAATATGTATTTAGGGGTAAAAACACATTTTTGGGGGATGGTTTTGGGTATTTTTGATCCCAACTCCATCAAACTTCATTTTTTGATAGGATTTGCTTAGAAAACAATATTGAAGCTTGCATCAGATGATCTGGGGTGGATTACTCTTCAATCGACGCTGACAAACCAATAGATTTGTGGTTCATTTCTCTTCCTTTTGTGTATTCTTTATGTGTTGAGTTTGTTTATGTATTTACTTTAAACTCATGTATATTTGTCGCCCATGACGTTATATTAAACTTGCTTTACAAATCTTAGTCGATTGTTGCCCTGAATTTTTGCTTTGTGCTAGAGATTTGGGTTGTTATAGACATATATTACTTAGATTCTTATCTAGGATGATTATCTGTTAGTTTTTGAACTCTAGAGATAGATATAAAGCTGACATCTACTTGTGTATCAGAGCTTAATGCATGTGTGGTTGTGATGTGTTAAGAGATCGTCAGTGCAACTACATAGTTGTCTTCTGTGTTGTTGAGGAGTGGAGGGATCATTTCCTTGGTGATACAGCCAGCCTCTCAATTTGGGTTAGAAATGACTTAGGTTGTGAGTGATATGTAGTGATATTGATGAGTATTGTTAGGTTGAATGTAACTGGTCGGTAGATTTAAGTATGTGATGAGTAGATTATATGCAGGCTTGATAAGTTCTTCCTTAGTTTTTACTTTTATTTACATTTATTTTTTGTTGATATTTTCTATATCATTCAAATCCCAAACTCATTAACGAGAGTTTTTCGAACGGCATTTCAATTCACCAATCTCTGTGGACACAATAAATTCCCAGATAAATATTTCCAAAACTTTTGTTGCTTGCCACTTTACCGCGCAACAGTCGTCTTTCTTCCTTTGATCTTTATGCGCAGCTTTCTGAGCATCTGTCACATTTTCATCCAGTTCTAATACTCCATCATTCAAGATTCCAACAACATCTTGAAATATGAAGATAATATTCATTTGTGCAACCCATCGTACATAGTTTTCACCTTTGAAAACCCGTAGATTCGCTGGAAATTGCATTGAAGTTGTTGTTCTGTTTGCCATTAGATTCTCTATGAATCGCAATCGAGCTCTGTTATACCAATTTGTTGAAACAAAGGGTTTTCAAGAAATATGATTGATGAAGGAAGAAGAATAAGAAGAAGAAGAAGGAGAGAGAGAAGAGAGATTTGGAAGTTTGTTATTGATTCTAACTGAATTGTAAAATTGAATTGTGATTGCATTGTCTTGTAAAATTATAAACTAGCAAGCCCTTTATATAGGCATACAATACCCAGGCCCAAAAATAGAGTTTTCGACAAACTACAATAGTTGTTGTATTCGACTTTGTTGAATACAGCTGACAACCTATTCAAAACTAGCTAGATCGACATGCTTTTGATACCACTAGTTCGTCGTATGCTCAATGTTATTTGACAAGACAAGAATTACACTATCTAACAGATACCAATCGAAGCAGCATAAGAAAATTGTCCACTAATCTTACTCAAGTGATATATGTAATTAGGCATGGAGATAAAACTCGTACCCGCGGATAACCACTTGATCCCGCCCCGAAGTTGACGAGGAAAATCCGCTTTGACTGAGTTTAAGTTTGGGTTTGGGTTTTCCCTGATTATAAAATATGGGGATGGATCAGATAATTTGGATACTAGTACTCACTCGGAATTCGCCCCCAAACTAGCTCTGTTTATTTCATTATATACATTATTATTTATTTTTGATAATTTAAAATATTAAATTTGTGGTCAATATTTTGATAATTTAATTTATATTTATTATTTAAAATATTTGAAACGTATATATGAAATTTTTTAAGATTATTTTTATTTTATTAATAATATTTGAAATATTTAAAAACTTATATTTGAAACGTATTCCTTATTCTGTGATACAGGCCATTGCCTAAGACTCCATGCAGCGATATTCGAAATCCAAATTTAGCTCATCGCCTAAGACTCCACGCAGCGATTCACAAACCTAACCCATTGCCTCGGTCTCCAAGCAACCATGCATTATCAAGTGTTGTTTTATTCATCCCCAAGTGGGTGAATAAGCAAAGTCAAACCAAAAACATACAATATTGTTCTCCCAAGTTCTAAGTCATCATCCTTATTCAAATCCTAGTAAGCGATACATCATCAGCTATGCCTATTATCTCAAGACTCTTAAGGGTATGCTATATCAGCGTAACCTTAGGTTTGTCGGGAAATTTTTGGGGTATTTCAAGTATTCAATAAACTCCCAATCAAATGCGCAAGACCTGTGTATCCTCGCGCTATTCGATTGGAAGATAACTGAATAGGGGCAACTGTCGTACCCCAAATTTGCCCTACCTTCATGATCATAGTTAGGTTTATCACTGTATGATTTTCAAAGTTAAAAATGAAAGAAAGATGTTTTAACTGAAAATGGTTCATCAATATCTGATGGCCCATTTTTAAGAATTCAAGTAAACAAGGGGGTGTATCCTAATTCAAGGGAGTGGGGCTTTCTAAATCAGAAAGACCCATGGGATGATAGGCCCATTTATGAAGCATGTTGTCCAATGGCCCATGAGATTCTAATATGAAGGTCTACTTTGTAAAAAGAGGTAAGAGTTTGCTTATAAAAGTGAGAAGGCCCATTAAGTTGTGTTGTTGTTTTTAGTAAAGAGAGGGCTAAAATTTCAAGTTACAAGCCCATTAGGAGATGGCCCATTTAGTTTAGTGATTGAATAGAAAAGGGAAGGGTGTGATTATAAATTGCAGGCCCATTAAGGCTTTTAAGCTAGCCCATTTGTCAATTTTAGAAATTATTTTGTTATTACTGTTTTATTTTAAAAACATTATTATTAAACTTTTTCTATTATTATAATTATTTTACTAAAAAAAAATTTACAAATTATTAAGAGATTTATTATAATCATTTTTATTTATTATTAAAATATTTTAAAACTATTTTATTAGATATTTTTTATATAATTTATTTAGTAAAGAGTTTTTTCGTCTGGAAAAAATCTATTGGATCAAATCTAGTATCAAGCCTAAAATTAGGCCCAATTCATACTGAAGCATTGCAATAAACAAGAAAAAAGGGCAGCGCGCTGGATTGGATAGCACAAGGCCCAAAAGGCTATCTTGTGCAGATTTGGTTGGAGTGATGCAAACTATCACTGTGCAAATCAAAGGAGAAGAGTACACACGTTTTCACTAAATTAACACTTACTGTTTAGATCTAAATAAACTAAATCAAATCCTAAATTGCAGAAACAAAATTAAATAAAACGAATAAAATCAAATCTTCATTACAATTCAAATCTCAGAAACGCAGAATCAATGTTTATTACATTCAATCAAAAATTACAAACAAATCAGTTCGAATCCAATATTACAGAATCAAATCCAAATCAATTACAACATTTTCTGAATCCCTAATTACAATGAACATCCCTAAATCTAAGCCCTGAGCAATGATAACGAATTTTCCTAAATCTACAAACCCTAGTCCTATAAATACATACACAAAAAGAGAAATTGTGGGAATGTAGAGACGAAGCAGAAGAGTCAAAGAATTTTATTTACCGAATCAATTTGTTGAAGAGAAGAAGAAAGCGATTAGGGTTTCAACATCTGAAACCCTAATCGCGTTGCTGCCTCACCGTCGACCGTCGTTAAACATATCTCCAGATCATCGTCCTCGTTGGAACCTGCAAATCAGAAAGAGAGGAAGGATTAGAAGCCGAATCTCCAAATCGCTCAAGAACTCGAACGCAATACACAACATCACAAGGAGGTAACAAGCTTGAATCCTTAGATTTGGTTGTGTACTGATTTGCATTTTGTTTTTGTATTCGGGGTATGGTATCGCATTATCGTGGTTGTGGCTTTAGGTTTAGAAAGATGAAGATGAAGATTTAGGGTTGTATCGAGATAAAGGGGTAACGAAGAGAGAGCAAAAAGGTTGTAAGTGGAAAATAATGTAAAAATGTAGAAACAAAATATTATGTTCTGATATAGTTCTGTGCATGCGCGCGTATACGATAATCATCATGTTCCCTCAAATCTCATCCATCTGATCATCATCATACGATCGTAAGGCCAAGTCTCACCGTAGTTCAGTGCACCTTTCCGCATACGATTAGTCAACCCCTTTCAAAAAACGTGCTTTGGGCCTAGCCCATTCGTTTTTACACCACCCATTTACTATAATTGTTAAATCATCTTGGACAATGCACCCATACTGTTGTACCCCAAAATTTTCCCTCTCA